CCAGTAGCACCAAAAGTGTCAGAAAGTGTCATTTTGAGGGAGAGCTAAGAGTATTAATAATTGTTGGACATATTTAAATTCAGTTTTTTCTGCAGTTCATTTAGCGCTGTACTGACAGCACATACACAAAAGGCAAATGGGCAGTTTCAGGACTTCACTTAATTTAAAGATGATTAATATCCAGAAATAAAGCAGGGTTCCTTAAATGTAAACTGTATGGAGCACTGAAGTCACAAGTAGCAGGTGATATTCAAAATGTAATGTCACTGTAAACTCCCTCATGTGGTTCGTCCATTTCACTTTGTCTGAGTGTGCTAAGAGGGAAACTTGTGTAACAGGGCTCACTCCTCTCCGCTTGGCGCTCTGGCTGCGGGGAGGAAGCAATCGGGTGCCACAGTTTAATCGCTAATCTGTTTGCACAGCCTTTCTGTGTACCGGGGCTGTCTCTTAATGCATTGAACTTGTAATCCTGCAATGGAAAAAAAAGAGGCGGTTTAGGAAGACGGGAGTTGTGTGCTCAAGATTACCCGCAGTTGTGTAACAGGCCATGTGGGGTCTCCGTGCTGCTCTGTCCTGCCTGCCATGTGCTTCTCTCTTCTGCAAGATGATGTCAGAGCCATGCAATTGAAGCCACTCTTTTCCCTGTCTGTGTGCACTGCGGGGTTTGCTAGCGTGGAGCCCTGACGTGGAATTAATACACTTACCACACAGCATCCCCATTCAAGATGAGATCAGATCACTTTATTGACCATACACAGTTTCTTGCATTAGGAATTTGTCTTTTCACATACTGCAGCTTGCTCTCCATGAGACACACAGACGGGGAGAGAAGCTGGGGGTCAGAGCGCAGGGTCAGCCATTCATACGGCGCCCCTGGAGCAGCTGGGGTTAAGGGCCTTGCTCAGGGGCCCAACGGAGTAGGAGTCCTCTGCCGGCCGTCTTCCAGCCACAGGCGCAGATCCTGAGCCACAGAGCCACCGCTCCGCCCCAAAGGGCCCTGGTGCAGATAGTCACGCAGAAAGCTCTTTGTTCCCCATCAAGAGTGTCCTGTGGGATCCGTGGGCAGTGGTGCTGCTCTTTGGGCAGGGCTCCTGTACGTGTGGCAGGGCTGTGCGTTCCGCTCAGCAGGGCTCCCTTGCCAGTGTAGAAATCCAGAAGGGGCTCGGCGTGGCTGTAGCTGAACCCTTTTCCCATGGGTGTGTGACGAACTGGCCGCAGGGATGGCGGCTCGCGTCGCCATCCTCCCTCCTGGGCCGGTGTGCAGCAGAGGTGCGTCAGCATCTGCGCGCTGCAGAAAGCCCAACGAAATAATGAACAGCTTTTTGAGAGTTCGCGCACATGAACTCTTTCCCGTTTGTTCCCAGCTGTAGTTTCTTTCGAAGGGACGTTCCCCTGAGTGAAATTATGGCACTGCGTGTTTTAGAGTGCGTATTGAGTATCTGAGAAAAGAGTATTAGTCTGTGTTTAATAACTGATGTTCAGGATTACAGTAAGAAAAAAATGCTCCTATCCTATGGTAAAGAAGCTTTATTAATAAGGTTGGGAGTTAACATTTATTGGCGAAGATTTCTGTGGTGTATTGCTGACTGTTTGGTCCCTTGTGGGGCGAGGAGAACTTTTTCAAATTCATTTACTCAGTTGCTGGTAATATTACTGCTGCAGTGCTGTGAGGGAGGTGGGGGGGTGGGGTGCATGAAGAAGGATTTAATTTAATCTTCAATAATGGGAAAAAAAACAGACCAGCAAAAAAAAAAAAATCAGGCAGTCTGTGAAGAAACTGTCAGATCCAGCCAGAAAGAGCAAGAAAGATGGCACAGGATTGTGACACTTCGCTGCCAAAAAACAAGGAATCTTGGGGTGTTATTTTGGGATGAAGATATACTGTACAGGTGATGGAGAATGTGCTGTGTGCCGTGTTTAAAAGAATGATGGTCTCTCTCTCTTTCTCCCTCTCTCTCTGTTTAACCATCCTTCCTCCTTCTGCCTATGTGTGTGTGTGTGGCTCTCTGCCCTT